TTTGGTGTCCTTTTCTCCCTTGCCATAATTGTCACAAAGGCAGTGTAAAATTCTGTTAATATCAAGACAGGAGGTTCTACTACAGTGAACCTTTCTTTATGAAGCTGTTTATTTACAAGCTTATTGAGGGTCTGCCGCCTTCAAAGAATTGGGCGTAACCTTGGGCAAGAATAAAAGAATTGGTTATGAAGGGCTCTCTCTTAAAAGAGTATTTAATATCATGGCAGTGATAAGACATGGAAATCCAACTGTGTGTTAGAACCATGTAAATGCTAGAAATTTATGTTAGGATGTAGACAAGGAAGAGAGGGATCAGTACGAATTAAACTGACAGAACAAGAATCATTACTGGGCGTGATAATGATCACTTTAAAATGCCTGCATTTGCTGATTTGAATTTCTCAAAGAAGAGATAATAGTCTTACATACTCATATGTTCCACATATTACTCTTCCTTAGACTTGGTTGTCATATGAAAATTTTTCTAGCAATCTTGCCATCATTAAATAATGATTTTGGTCAACAAGGCTGTTTGGTAGGGAGAATCTATGGGGTGCAGCAGAAACAGAAACAGCAATAAAATTATTTAGACTTGGCATTCAAGGCCTTCCGTGACTTCAGTCCACCCTCCCTTTCTGGTTCTATCATTGTGCAGAGGGAATGATACCCTTTTTGTTTTAATCTCTTTGACTATAAACCAGTTGAACTCTGCAGAGACCCTAGAAGAGGATGTCACATCAAAATGGATGGACTCAGCACTCCCCAGTCATCATGTGTAATGCTGCCAGCAAGGCAATTCGTGGAACTGTGATGTGAACAAGAAATAAAGTCCAGTTTGTTAGGACACTGAGATTCAGAATTTGCTGCAAAAACTAACGTGAAGTGCCCTATTCTAGTCTCAACACGCACTGAACTTTGTTCTGTTAACAGGGCATGCCTTGTGGAATCCTGTTACCGCATACCTTGTGACGTTCATCTGGGCTGTATTCCCCATGTCCATGTCCCAGTGTTTTGCCGGTATTTCCAGACCAAAACCAAATATTACCTCCCCATAGATTCTTTCTCTCTTTTCCCAGCAAATGAAATCTCACACTCCATTGAACTTTTGTAATCTTTCTTCTAGCACTCATAGGAAAATTTACCATATGCTTCTTACATACACATCACCTCAGATTCTAAATCTATTGGATGATGTACATTTGGTGTTATATTATTTATTCCCTATTTCTCTACTGTATTACTACAAACAGGTCCTAAAGTGCAAATATCTGTTGAATTTGTACACAATGTTTTTTGACTTAAAAATGATGATACAATGGGTAGCTCCCCAGGGTTTTCACCATATAAGCATAGCTAAGATATTAGGCTACTGCATACATGTGTTTCTGGTTGTACCAATCATTAGACTATTTTCTAGAGCATTTCCCTATAACAAAGAGGGAAGCAAGACTAGATCTAACAGAGTGCTTGAAAATAAAATGAGGAATATGAGAACTCTTATCATAATCAGAGGGCTGCCACCATAAAGCTTATAGGGGAATCTGAAACAAACCCGAGGCACACAAAATGCTAAGGAGAATATTAAGTAATCCAAACACTAGCATCATGAGTTGTCAAAACTGTAGTCTCCAACACTGGGAAACTAAAAATTTTAAAGCACTTTTTTAAAGAGAGAGAAAACATTCCATTTTTAGATTTTAAAAACCTGAATAAGCCACTTTTAGCAAACTCTTTCTTTTAGGTAAATCCTTGGCGCTGCCCTTAGATTCTTACACTAAAGCACCTTACCTGCTACTCAGGTCCTGATTTCTGTCTGCTGGCCAAGTTTCAGCTAGACTCGTCTACGTTTCTGATCTTTAACTATTGGAGCATTTCTTCGTTTAGCATCTATTATTCAATAATTTTTCTTGGTAATCCTACTTGATCTCTTTCTCCTGGATAACTTTTGTCCTTGAAGAACCCAATTCTGTTCTCTACTAAATTCTTCTGAGAGAAGAAATTATTTTCTAATTGGCCTCCCAATTCAGTAAAAAAAAAAAGATACTTAAATACATTGGATATGTTGGCTTTCTGCAACAGAAGTAATTTTCTCTTATAACTAAAGCAGTGGGCTGAGGACTCTGCATCATCATCTCTCACTGACAGACCCCCACAGAGAAGAAAGACAAATATCTGAGATAGGAAAGCAACTTAGGGCATTGGGTGTATTTCTGAATACTTGGATGTATCTCTGCTATCAGTCACTTAAAACTTAGAATGCAAATACAATTGGTGAGGTGGCACATTCCTTTAAATGCACATTTTCCAAAAAGGTAAAATGAAAGAATTTATGCTTGTCAAAAGAATTTCGGATGACAGTGAGGAGAGAGGTGAAGTGTTGGGGCAAAAGGAAGCCCCTCTTGAATTTCTGCCATTAGAAAATAGAAAACTATCAATTTTTCAGACTTTCCATTAATGCATATATTTGTTTCCCAAGGGTCATTTTATATGTTTATACAGTATCCACT